CCCTTTTTCATTGCGTCTAATGCGCCCTTGATTTCGTCATCAGATGGCGGTGATAGCAGGATGTCATTTGACATGTTGAAATCATGAGGTAAATCTTTTAGCAGAGGATGCGAAGAAACTGATCCTGGGTAACAGACATTCGCACCAGATTGAGCTATTGACTGAAAGTGTGGAGTGAATTCCTGAAAGTCGCACGTGCCCGCAGCAGCTGGGGCGGTAGAGTCCAGCAGGTAGCGCAGGCGAGCCTGGTGGACGAAGCAGAGCTCTGCGTGCATACCTTAGTACCTCAGGGTGCGCACACGGTGCACGTCTACAGTGCCAAGCTGCAGCCGAGTGTGAAGAAGTGCGCATAATACGTTGGTACCGCTCGACGAGCTCCTCTTGCTATGCCCGCATTACAGTGGAAGGACTGGGATCTGGATTGGCAATGCGTATCTTCTGGATTAACAATAACGCATCTTTCGACATACGGTTGCAAAGTCCTCTGCCCGACGCACTGCAATGATGGAGCCGCTGTTCTTTGAGGCGATCCCAATCAGCTACATCCGCCCCAATGAGCGATGCGTGTAATGCTCGGGAGAATTTTTCCGTAGCCTGAGAGTCCTGAAGGACGCGGCAATCGAGACGCCATGGTCTGTGAATCGTTGGCGTCCCCGCTGGCAGGCGGAGAGAGAACATAACCAGCCCATGGTCGCTAATTGTACACTGGTGTCGGTGGCAATGACATTACCCCGGTGTCGTGAACGTAGGTAATGGGACTGGGGGATGCATACACGCGATCAATTCGGCTGCTCGACGCTGCTCGATGCCAAGTTTAGGCAAAATTACTGCCATGGACACTTTGATGAATGTCACTTAATGCCAATTGCTGCACTAGACGTTCGAGTTCTCTGGCATTCCAGTTTGACCGACTGCGACCCGGACCTCGAACGTCTGCGTGTGAGTCTAAGACACAATTGAAATCCCCTAAAAGTACCACATGTTGGGAATTTAAAAGGAACGCATCAAGAGATTGGACGAACGCGTTTGAGTTCCCGCGTGCCACTGGGGCATACACGGCAACAAATCTTATTCTTAACGAAAAAAAGGTGCAGTCGAACGCCAGCCCACGTCCGAAGGCATCGAAGGAAACATGATGGTCACGTAAACGACCTCGGTTAAAAATACTGACTCCGACGCCAGTCGAACGCGTGCTGGCGTACGAAAAGAAACAATCAATATTGAACGCGCGCTTAAAAGCGAGTACATCAGAAAGCTTGAAAAAATTTGTTTCTTGCACGAACATCCATTCACAGTGCACTAAACGCGCAAAAGCTAATACCTCAGCCTGTTTTTGTGGATTGCGGAAACCTTGAACGTTAAAAGTAATAACTTTTAGAGTAAAATCCATGGGGAAAATTAAAACATAGTATAGGATCACGCAAATGCAGGGGTACCTTTATCAGGTGCGGAAGCCGGTACCCCACAAGTGGCTGAGTCATTGTTTTCGGCCAGGCAATCCACCCGAGGCTCGGGGCTTCCGGGATCGCGTTGAAGTCCGCAGGGGACTTCTGTCTCTGGTGGGGGCTTCTAAGTCACGAGTAGTCATCCGGTGGCGTTTGGAGTCCGGGTTCTTGAGCGAGGATGGTACAAAGGCGTCTGCACTTTCCTGGCGTATGTCACTGGGGCTGGTGTCTTCGTCAACTTGTAGAGGCGCATCACTCGCGGTGCTGTTGGAGTCCACGTAGATGCAGGCGTCGTCGTCTTGAGATGTAGACTCCTCGATAACACCTGAACTTGTTGTGGACAGAGCAGCAACGCGAGGAGCGTCAGATGCAAGATTTCCATCCGAGACGCCTTCCTCACGAGGCGCCTCGTCTGACGAGGGCTTGGCCTGCGATTCCTCAGAAATGGCCACGGGACGCGGGGAACTTAAGTTTTCAGTACCTGGAGGGATTACCAGGTCCGGAATCGTTGAGGACGCAGTGGGCGTCTGGTGCAGTGTCGCGACTGACACACCTTGGTCGTGGTCGGTTACCGCAGCTCGCGTTGACGAATTGTCGCACTTGTTCTTAGATGGCGTTCCTGTTTGAAGTGGAGGGAAATCTTTGGATTCCGCCTCAGAATACGATGGCCTGATGGTGCGGCATGCGGGTCCCCACAACGGCGACATGGCAGCGAGCAGCCTTTCCCATCGTGGCCATAAACGCCGCACCTTCCACAAAACGGAGCTGTGCAGTTCATGCGGAAGTGCCCACTGTCTCCACATCGACGGCACACTCGCTGGATGCCTTTATAGTCACAGGTTACTCGATGGCCCGCGACCTTGAGGTAGTTGGGCACCGGTGACGAAGCCTTCATTTCCATGCGGACGTATCGCGTCCCAGTGGTCACGGTTGGGCACGATCCCATGAGTCCTCTGGTAATGTGCAGCACCTTCCCGTAGGGAGAGAGTGCTTGTGCGAGGACTTCGCTGGGTACGAGGCACGGCAGGAACCGGACGGTCACTTGGGTCACTTGGGGTCCCAGGGGTATGATGGCGACGCGCTCTCCTCGGATGATCAGGTGCGACGCGTCTACGATTTGGGCCAGTGCGGCCTCACTGTTGACGGTAACTTGGTAGTTCCGGCCTCCCAAAGTGCTGAACGCAGTACACTTCTTCGATTCCTTCTATTGAAGACGTCGCGTCAACGACGTTTTCGGGACTAGTCCCCTCGGGTATGACTACGTCGAAGGCTAGCGCCTTCTTCGGGGTCTGGCTTGCCATTACGGGCGTCTGCCAGCCCAGGGACGCCCTGAGACGCTAACGACGACAACGAGAAAACACGCGCAGCTCCTTATAGTGGCACTTGTTCGTCCCTCGTGGCCGTAGTAGTAGTGTGTAACAAGTACCACATTTTGACCTCCAAGGTGGTGCCGGTGAGAGATTTCTTCTGTGCGTTGTTAAACAATAAAAGATAGTGCTCAATGTACATGCCAATAGCTGCTAAAGGGGAATGAGGGACAAGAGCATTCGGCTTTTAGTTAACGGGCACGCTGCCATCCCCATTAGCAGCCATTGGCATGTACATTGAGCCCTATCTGACATGAAAGAGTTGCTACGTTATACTGGCTGGGTGTAACCTTCTAGGTTTTAGAAAGGTTTAGCGAGTGTTGCGCCATAGTTCCATGAATACAGTGAACTAGTATATACCATGAACTCGAAGTGGTTAAAGATGGGAGGTAGACTCGCAGCGCAAGTCGTAAGAAAGTGTGCTTGTGCCAGCTCTCCTTTAGTCCTTGGAATGTCCGCTGGATGGCGGTGCTTCTATATGGGGAATATATGATGAAAAGGTGCAAGATGGTGGTACTTGGAGTGTTGAATATATGAACGAACGGACACACAGACAGATGCATGGACGGACGCACGAACAGACGCACGCACGGACGGGTGAATGGACGCATGGACGGTCACACAGACGGACGCATAGACGGACGGAAGCAAGAACGAATGGACGGACGAATGCTTCGCCCCGCTCTCCCTCCTTCACTCCGTGGATATGCTGCCAATTTTTCTGCACAGAACAACACATAAATGTTTTGATCACTCTCTCCACACGCAAGACCGCAGGAACGCCATCTTTCTACGACATTTGCAAACTAACATGCATATACGGGGCCCATTTTTTTTACCAGTGTTATATTATAATATACTGCCTGTTTCTGCAGAATGGCTTGGAAACGCTAATTTAGACGTCGTAGAATCGATGAGCACAATGAAGGCGCGAACGCGCAGGAGCTTTACTTGCGCTTCCATGGCTGTCGTCTGCTCGATGCGCTTACCACGAGCATAGAGTTTCTCAATATACACTAGAGGAAACTCTGTCGCTAGTGTCTATGGGAGCTGCAACACACGGCGCTTCAGCGAGCATGGGAATGATGGGTAGTACACACATCTTTCTAATTTTCGTACTTGTGGCCTGCTTCTGGCTCCGTGTGTGTTCGTGTGGCTTGGAGCTGTTTTTTTTTTTCACGAAAACATAAATTAGCAAATGTTCACCGTTTGCGCTTCACAACCTTATTCCTTTAGGCTTACCGTTTTGAATCAAGTCACTAAGTTCAAAAGGGCTCGTTTTTTTTTTCAAAACAAAATTGAGACACAGCAACAAATGAAGCCGCAAGTACGATTCACCGCCCGCAAGTACGAAGACTAGGCAAATTAGTGTACTACCCATCATTCCCATGGTCACTGAACGATTGCAGCGCCAGGGTGCCCTCTAGTTATTTTTGGGAAACTCTATGACCGCGGGTACACGAACACAAATGAAAGGCCGGCACATTAGCCCCGAATCTTGTTGCTAATCACGGTAAAAAATGAAAAAAAAACGCGCACATACTATTATTGCGTCTCAATATTTTTCTAGAGTTTCAATAATCTCTTCAAGCTATAAATTACATAAACCACGCAAGTCGTGTTAAAAAATTTTTGACATTTCATCTGCCGCAAATCAATGAAGCTTACCTCTCTCTCTCACGTGCCGCTGTTCGCAACGTCAAAGCACAGTTGTCTGCGTAGAGAACCAACGTCCCCGCATTGCCGTCTACGTAGGATCATGCATACGCGCACGTCATCTCCTTAATATCCTGGTGGGCGCCCGCAAAAAAAAGGGGGGCCCTAGTAGCGTTAAGTTCGAAAATTGACCCATTTCTGCGGAATAGCGTTGCAAATTTTGGCAGACGGGATCCGGAACGCCCTATGTTTACGCGTTGCACTTGTCAGCTCAAAATCGCCATACCTGATGAGTGGACCTTTGATATTTTGGTCAGTCTTACAAACTTAAAAACTATTCTATGCAATTAAAACTAATCATCACAGGAACAGCTCACGTAAGTAAGGCCTTACAGAAGAAGTGGAAAATGTAAATCACCCCTTCCGTAAATCAGCACTAAAACAATGAAATAGAAAAGAGTAACAGTTTCGTACACATTCGTTGAGTGACTTTGTCGAAAACTCCTCAGCTGCATTTGTTTCTTTTGTTAAGGTTTTTCGCAGCTGCCGAAGACTAATGTCCTTTTTTGCCGACGAGGAGTGGAATGCCGGTGCCACTAAAACCCTCCAATTTACACAAGCTAGCAGTAAGTGCTCTCATAATTCACCAATTTAGAGCTGTCTTATTGGCACTCCTAATTTTTACGTTTTTGTTTTGCATTTCCACTAACATACAGTAATATAAAGTTAAGTAAGTATCGGTTACGTTACTTTCCGCGATTTCATCGCATTCTCGTTGTATTCTAGATTCATCAGTAGACCGTATATTCTAAACCTGCCAGTCAAGCTTTGTTTTGTAAAAGAAACTTATCTTACTGAGTTAGGATAAGTACTTTTCTTTTCTTCCGGTTGTGTTAAATTTGTTATCATTGATGTTTCTTTAGGAAGCATAAATTACGCCTTATGGAAAAACCTAGGCCTTCGTCTGGAATGGTCACTTGTTTGCCTCTACTATATTCCCATATCTGTATAATTTCTCTATCTTTTATTCCCTTAACCCCCTTGGCCGGTGCATGGTAACCTACTGAGGTCAGCCATGGATAACATCACTGCCTTTCTTTCATCTTTACTCACTTTCACTCTGTCTATCCCGCCAGCCAATAGGCTGTCTACACAGAGCCCTTACAGGCCTGTGGGACTAACTTCCGATCTCTGTCGAAAATAAAGAATACACCTCTTTGGAACAAATAGCCCCTGTCAGGGTCTAATTTGACAATAACCACACTGCTGGTCACTGACTCATACCATTCTATAGTTTGGAGTGATGAACAAAGTTTGAGAAGCAAAATTTTTAAGCGAGATGCAGTCAAACTGCGTTTTCAGGCCTTTTGTCTTATGGCTGACAGAATGGTTTGTCTCCTCAAATGATTAACATTTATAGGCTTCGTTGTACACAACAAAACAAATATATTGGCTTTGTCAACTTGTATACAATGACTTCTGCGCATGCGCAGAAGTCCTTGTGGAAATAGATAAGTGGATCTCGTTGTACTACGCTGAATTTAATTGCTCATATTTGCTTGAACTGACACAATTACTATGGGCTTAATAAGAAGGCTTTTCTTTTCATTGAAAATATTTCAATGTTATTTTGCAGCTGGCCAAGTCAATTTGCACAACTGCTCCTTTGCCTGGGCAAAGAAAATCTGCAGTGGGGCTGTCCCGGCCATACAAAATATCAGTGTCAACGTGAGCAGCGGCTCCATAGTGGGTATTGTTGGTTCTGTGGGCAGTGGAAAGTCTTCGCTTTTATCTGCAGTAATGGGAGACATGAGGTGCATTGCAGGAGCTGCAGCTCTCAAAGTGAGTTTTGAAGATGCTGGTGTTCTTTGTAAAATGTGTCTGTATGGGTATGTCTGTACGGTGTCTGTATAGTTATGGAGCTTGAGTTCGTCAAAATTTATTTAGCCAGACATTTACTTGATGCAAAAAGTTCGCCATATATATATATATATATATATATATATATATATATATATATATATATATATATATATATATATATATATATATATATATATATATATATATATATATATATATAACGTTAGCCGCAACAAGCTGGTACAGGCAGGAACCCGGCAAGCACGAGCCACACACGGATGTCAACTTCTTCTTTCACGCTGGCGCCACTATGTTTCGGTACAATTACTCCCCGCGCAGAAAGGAGCCAACCTGGCGACCTAGGGAAAGGACACAACAAGGGGCTCAAAGCACTATTTGAGGCGTGATACTGTTTCACGCCCATGGCAGCGTTGGTCCGAAGGTGGATCAATGGGCTCAACTTCATAGTTGACAGAAGATGTTTGACGCACCACATGGTAGGGGCCATGGTATTTCGACGAAAGCTTCGGGGAAAGACCGGGCGGGGTAGACGAGACCCAGAGCCAAACCAGCATTACTGGGTTATAGTGTACAGTAGACGCAGATGAATCGTGGTCAGTTTTCTGGCGCCATTGGTCTTGTGCGGTAAATGAGTGAGCGAGTTGACGACACTCTTCAGCATAAGCAGCTGCTTCGGAAACGGGCGTCGCTTCGGAAACATCAGGCCTGTAAGGGAGAATGGTGTCCATGGAGCATGATGGCTCACGTCCGTACAGGAGGAAGAAAGGAGAAAAGCCAGTGGTTGTTTGTGGCGCAGAGTTGTACGCGTACGTGACAAAAGGGAGCACTTGGTCCCAGTTAGTGTGGTCGTCAGAGGCGTACATGGCAAGCATATCTCCAAGGGTACGGTTAAAGCGTTCCGTCATGCCATTGCTTTGAGGATGGTATGCCGAGGATTTCTGATGGACAGTGCGACATGCCTTGAGCAGCTCGTCGACGGCGTTCGAGAGAAACACGCGTCAACGGTCACTCAGTATTTACCGAGGTGCACCGTGTCGCAAAATGAGATGGTGAAGAAGAAAGGACGCAACGTCTTTCACAGTGGTAGCAGGCAGCGCAGATGTTTCAGCGTAGCGTGTCAAATGATCGACGGCGACTATAATCCACCGGTTGCCTCAAAGAGAGTTGGGTAGAGGACCATAAATATCAATTCCGTCGCGGTCGAATGGTCTCGCTGGGCAGGTTAAGGGTTGCAAAGGGCCAGCAGTGCTGTGAGAAGGCGTCTTGCGTCGTTGACACGTGGTGCATGACCGAACGTACTGGCGAACGTGCCGATACATGCCGCGCCAGTAGTATCTTAGACGAAGGTGAGAGTAAGGCTTAAATACTCCAGCGTGGCCACACTGGGGGTCATCGTGAAAGGCAGCGCAGATGTCCGAACGCAAATGACGAGGGATGACAAGGAGCCACCTACGGCCGTCCGTCACGTAATTGCGGCGATACAACGAGCCTTCACGGACAGCAAAGTGTCTTGCTTGACGAGAGAGGGAGCATGAAGTCGTTTCTGACGAACTATGAGAGAGAACGTCGAGCAAAGAATTGATCCAAGGATCCTTGCGCTGTTCGGATGGCATGTAAGTGATGCTCAACGATGACGAATCGCAAATGGCAGTTGATAAGCAGGCAAGGTCAGGAGGCAGTGGAGAACAGGACAGTGCATCGGCGTCTGAATTTCTGCGTCCTGAGCGATAAACAACACGGATATCGTATTCCTGAAGGCGTAAACCCCAACGAGCGAGGCGGCCAATAGGATCTTTCATGGACGCTAACCAGCATAAGGCATGTTGATCTGTGACAACATCAAACTGGCCTCCGTAAAGGTAAGTGCGAAATTTTTTATAGGCCAATTGATAGCCAAGCACTCCGTTTCCGTGACGGAATAGTTGGACTCTGCCTTCGTTAGGGTACGGCTGGCATAGGCGACAACGTACTCGTCGCAGCCATCCTAGCGTTGAGCGAGAATGGCACCAAGGCCGACACCGCTTGCATCCGTGTGAATTTCAGTGGGGGCATTGGGATCGAAGTGGCGGAGAACTGGCGGAGACGTGAGTAGCCGGCGCAGCGCCGTGAATGCGTCGTCGCAGTGAAAATTCCAGCCAGAGAGGTCCGCGCTACGGGAGAGAAGCTGAGTCAGAGGGGCAATTATAGAGGGAAAATTGCGAATGAAACGCCGAAAATAGGAACACAAGCCTACGAAACTACGAAGCTCCTTTAGGGTAGTAGGCTTGGGGTACTCGGCAAGGGCACGTAGTTTGGCAGGGTCTGGCGATATCCCTTCTTTTGAAACGACGTGGCCGAGAATTGTGAGCTTGCGGGCGCCAAAACGGCATTTCTTGAAGTTTAGTTGCAACCCGGCTGCCGTAAGGCACTGGAGAACTTGTTGCAGACGAGAAAGATGAGTTTCGAGATTCGCCGAGAATACAACTATGTCGTCTAAATAGCAAAGACAGATGTGCCATTTAAGTCCCCTGAGAACACTGTCCATCATTCTTTCAAAAGTCGCAGGCGCATTGCAAAGACCGAAGGGCAATACATTAAATTCATATAAGCCGTCAGGGGTCACAAACGCCGTTTTTGGACGGTCTGGTTCAGCCATTGGCACTTGCCAATATCCAGAGCGCAGATCCAGTGAAGAGAAAAACTCCGCACCTTGAAGGCAATCCAAGGCGTCATCAATGCGTGGCAGAGGATAAACATCCTTGCGTGTGATGTTGTTTAGTCGACGATAATCCACGCAAAACCTGATGGAGCCATCCTTTTTTCGCACGAGGACCCTGGCGAAGCCCAAGGACTGTGTGAGTGTTGAATAACACCACGTTGCAGCATCTCGACGACGTGTTGAGTGATGACGTCACGCTCAGCCTGCGAGACGCGGTAGGGGCGCTGACGAAGTGGAGTATGATGACCGGTGTCGATATGGTGAGCGACAACTGACGTGCGTCCCAAGGGAGGTTGTCCGTGGTCGAAGGAGGCGCGGAAACGGTCAAGTAGTTGAATGAGCTGATTGCGCTGGTCTTGCGTAAGGCCGGTGTCTACGCTGCGCAACAGAACGTCTTCGTCAGGTAGTGAGGGCGCGGTGGCAGCTGTGACAGCATCTGCGGACATCGGTGTCGTATCAAAACGGGCATCGAAAGGAAAGATGTCATCATAAGTGTCAAGACTCCCAATACATTCGCCATGCAATAAGGTAGCAGGACAAGGGAACGGAATTGCACACGTACTCGGCACTGGAGCCATCGGCAAGTGTTATGACGGCGAACGGGACGACAAGGTTCCGGCGACGAGAGCATTCTTGTGACAGCATAAAGCGGGCAGTTGAATCGGAAACGAAGTTGCACAAAAGAGATACCGCGGCGACCGAAAAAGCAGAAATGACGACGTCAGCGGCGACGATCACCTTTTTGGGTGAGCGAGGGAGATCTATGAATGTCGTGCTGAATGGAAACAAAACGAGTTGAGCACGAGCGCAGTCGACAACCGCATGATTAGTGGAAAGAAAGTTCCATCCCAGGATGATTTCATGAGACGCATGCGGAAGGACGACAAATTCAACGATGTAAAGCACTCCTTGAATCACAACACGAGCAGTGCATATGGCAGAAGGTTGGACGTGTTGCGAACTCGCTGTGCGTAAAGAAATTTCAACCAGTGGAGTCGTCACTTTGTTCAGTTTGCGGCATAACACTTCACTGATTATACAAATAGCGGCACCTGTGTCTACAAGAGCAGTTGTGGCGAAACCGTCCACAAACACGGCAATCTCGTTAGGGGGCGAAAGATGAGGTCTTGGAAATTTCGTCGGTGGCGCAGCTCTTGCCTCAGGAACTGCGACTGTTAGTTTGCCTCCTGGGCGTGGTTGGAACGGCGAAGCATGGGGGAAGGAGACCGAAGACGGGGTAAAGGAGATCGACGTCGGCTGAAGTCTGGTCGACGTGAGCGGGGGTCATGTGATTCAGGTGTCACATGCCATTCTGATTGCCGAGGTATGTTGCCGGAATACTAAACATCATTAAAATAGAATCCACGGCAACGACAGTAGCGCGCGACATGTCCTGGAATACCACAGTTGTAGCAGACGGGCCGGTTATCCGGAGTACGCCAAGAGTTTACAGGTGCTCGAGGTGGTGGAAAGGGCCGATTTACCGGATAAACCGAAACTGGTGACCTGTAGTAGTTGGTGGCTGGACTGTATGAAGGGAGCGGCGGTTGGGCAGGAGGTCAGCAGACGGCTTCTGCATAAGTCAGCGGTGCAGCCACTGATATTGGGGATGCGGGCGAAGGGAGAGCCTCGGCAACTTGCGTCTGAATAGCACGGCGAAGTGAGTGGTCCAGTGTTGTGGGAGTCTCGTTGATGGTGGTGACAAGAAAGAGCTGTCGAGCAACTTCCTCCCCGATGTACTGTTGAATTTGAGGCATTAACATGCTGTAGTCAGGGCCACTGCTTTTGCACTCCAAAGCCGAAATATCAGGTGTTTGCGTATTAGGGCGACGTGTAGAAATTCGTTGCTTGCGCAGCTCATCGAAACTTTGACATAGCTGAATCATGGCCGTGATGGTCTGTGGGTCTTTGGCCACAAGCATATGAAAAGCGTCGTCATCAATGCCTTTCAATATTGTGACGGGGCAAGGTCTTGGCTTACAGGATAGCGTCCACCGAGAATCGGCAGCCGAACAAGATGTCTGAGTTGCCTCTCGCGAGAGTACCTAACGCACAGGCGTCTTCTTCATCTTCGCTAAGTGCCACGCTTGCTCCTGTCGATGATGCACCGTAACATCACTCCCCTGCGGCGGAAGCGCGGTCACGGCGCTTAGTACGGCGGCGACGAACGAGGAGGGTGATACGGTTTCAGTCTGGAAACGTGTACAACGTCTGTCTGGAGTGAGGTGGTCGAAGAGGCATTGTTTAGGGGTGAGATCTC